CGAATTCTTTGGTGCACGCCTCGTCTCCGACTGATGGAGGCATTTACACTCTATGACCTTAACAGAAAATCCTTCATTATAGATAGTCTTTTGTCAGACGTCTTTCAGTGAAGTAAATATCAATCTTTAGTGGGAACAAGACTGTCGAATAAAATGTCTGCTTATAGAAAACTGAAACACATCGGAATTCAAGCATAAAATGACTTGCAGGTTTTTTTTCTTTAGCAAAATCGTGGAATTCAAATATCGTGTTGTTAAAATCTTGTCTGTTCTTGTTGATTTTTTTTCCGAGTGAAATGTAAAAGAATAAATAAAATTCTGCAATCTGTTGATACAATTCGAGAAATTAGACCTCAAGCATAACACCGTCAGTATGACTACCAGCCACTTTATATGACGGCAGGGTACTGCTTGTTGTTGACAATTGGTGGAATCTCATTACATACCAGGGTTAAATCGTGCAAGTGACAAGAATTCTAAGCTTAATATCTTTATCTTCAGTACAATTTCTGCTGAGTGTTGACGTTCTCGACTTTTCGACAAAGTCTCCGTCCTTCTTCAGAGAGAAACTTAGAAAAATGAATGGTTTATTGTACGGCTGTAGTAAATATCTAACTGCTCTTACTAGAATCTATCTTTAAAAGTGCCAGATCGAAAATGGAATATTGCTGCCATATCTATTCTGGAGCTGCCCAGTCTTCACTTGCTTGTCTGTATAGAGTCCAAAAGCACCTACGCGGCCTTGTGGATGATGAATTATTTTTCAACTTTCCTCACAGATGGAACATCGCAAGACTTTCGCTACTATATCACTAATTTCTGTGGCATGTTTTCTGGCGAGTTACATTCTTTACCCCCCCCACCTAACTTTTAGATCCAAGACTCGCCATGATATATACACAACAGTAAATTATCCACAATGTAAGACAGTTTGAAGAAAGGAGATCGAAATACAATTCTGATTGTATTAAATTAATTTTTTATATCTTCCTATTTTTTAAAAAAATAAGTAATACAATTTGAAAATGGAGATCGAAATACAATTTTAATTATATTAAATTAATTTTTTTAAATGTTCCCATTTTAAAGTAAAATATGTCAGTGGGTTTAAAAAAAATAGAAGGAAATGGATTTCGGATTATATAATATTTCTATCTATCTACTATCTATCTATGTATCTATGTATGTGTACACACACACACACACACACACACACACATATATATATATATATATATATATATATATATATATATATATATATATATATATATAGTTAGTTAGTTAGTTAGTTTATGAAAAACTAGGTAATCCGTACGGGTAAACCTAAGGAGGATAAAATCCAGAGAGCTCAATGTAAATCCAAAGCAAATAATTTAATAAAAACAGACCATTTTAAGGTTCCATGTAATAAATTATTTCACCACAGCCCTTTTAAAGGACTGCGGATCATCAGACTTTACTTCAAACAAAAATGAAAAAGAAAATTTACACATTTTTGACGGGCCGTATTAAACATATGCAAATTAACGAAGTGAGGAAGAAGTCTGATGATCCGCAGTCCTTTTAAAAGGGCTGTGGTGAAATAATTTATTACATGGAACCTTAAAGTGGTCTGTTTTTATTTAATATATATATATATATATATATATATATATGCATGTCTCATTAACAATGACAGACAAGGTACTACAATTAGGCTTTTTACTTAATTTTTCTTGTGTTCGAACAAGTGTTTTCTTTTTTGGACATAGAGTGCGTAGAAACTGCCCAAGTGTATAATATCGCTTAACATCTATCTATCTATCTATCTATCTATCTATCTATCTATCTATCTATCTATTCAATACAAACATAAAAATCAAAATGCAAATAAAAAATAAAATACAAGCATAATACCCTCATCCACTTGTAAAAAAGATTAAAAATAATGAAAGCCTTAATGATAGAATAGAAAAAGCCAACATTTAACAATATTAACTACGAACACGGTCACAATGTGCTAAAATAAAACATCTCTATAAGATATGTACACAACGCACACACTCAATTAAACTGAATAAATAAAATCATCCTTGATAATGGCTAAAAGTATAGCCGAAAGCGTTCAGAATTAGAGAATATTTGGACAGTTTCTTCACACTCTGTGTCCAGAAAAGAAAAAAACACTTGTTCGAACAAAAAAAAATTAAATAAAAGGCTTATTCGTACCCTAGTCTGTCGTTTTTAATGAGACATGCATAAATGAAGGATTGCTGTCTAAATACATAATATATATATATATATATATATATATATATATATATATATATATATATATATATATGAAGAAAAAATAGACTGAAAAAAAAACAAACAAAAATCCTAATATGCGATTATGCTGTTTTAATGTTTAATGTCAACGTCGGACGTTTCGGTCTAATGGACCATCTTCAGGACATGATGTTTTACAACTCGCCCCGGTCTTTTGGAACAGTAGTAAAGAATTATCCCTTGTTCCGTGTTTAGGATTGTGTTTCCGGTTCCTATGAGCCAAAATTCTACTACTTTGGGGTGAGAGAACTCGTACTATTTATTAGGTTTAGATAAATTTGGTACAAGACCATAGTCTTGTAGCACACATTGAGGAGCAAATTCACTAATGTCATAATAGGTTTCAAGACATGCTTGCTAACGTCTACTCAATGGCTTACGACTACATCATGTAGAAGCACTATTTCTCGTACAATCATCAAAGTTAAGCAACGTCGAAACTGGTCAGTACCTAGATAGGTAATCAATTGAGAGGTAAGTAAGCTTGAATGTGCTGGGGTATAATAGATAATGACTCGTAATTATTAATCGATGAATCGAATTCTAATTCTCAGTGGGTTCATTATATCCACTTACATGCAAATATCCTTGGGACAGGTATGAATTCACCTCTTCACCCCCCAGTTATGGGTTAATTAGTAAGACTTGTATCACTAAATCATTATTATATAAAAAATGGCTTTAAATAACTTGCAAAGGTTGATAAAATCCAAAATGAGGCCAATGATTTTTCGGATTGATATTTCGATATTTTAAGTTTCCAGACAGTAATATTGTAAATTACTGATGTAATTTCGAGTGTTTTTTTCTCATTAGTACCCTAGGGTACTTGAGCACATAGATAGATAGATAGATAAATAGATAGATAGATAGATAATGAACAGACTGAGATAGATAGATAGATAGATAGATAGATAGATAGATAGATAGATAGATAGATAGATAGATAGATAGATAGATAGATAGATAGATAGATAGATAGATAGATAATGAACAGACTGAGATAGATAGATAGATAGATAGATAGATAGATAGATAGATAGATAGATAGATAGATAATGAACGGACTGGGATAGATACACCTGTTTGTAAAATCTGCGATAAAACGAATAAGGGATTTCTGAGTTAACGTTTGCATTTGCCATGGGATCTCTCCAATGGTCGGTTGACCGACGTCCTGTTTATGTCGCGCTCAGGGCCGATCCATTTTTATTAGGACATTTATTTCGTAGACAACAGATAAATAATAGTAATCAGTGTGTTTTAGCAGAAGATAAGAGCAAGAGGGGGAGTAACGAATAAACAGAGAGGAATCAGAGAAGAAGAAGAAGAAGAAGGCAGTAGGGGGAGAAAAAGAAGACGGCTACTAGAAGTTCGGGGAGGAGGTAGAAGAGAAGAAGACAGGATTAGGAGGAGGAAAAGAAAGTGAAGACAAAGGCAAAATAAAAAATGTGGTTTTATTATTAAGAAGAAGGAAGTGGAGGAGGGGAAGATACAAGGAACAAGGAGAAGGAGACAAACAGAAAAAAAAAAACAAAAAAGAAGAAGTTGGAGGCGAAGGAATAGGAGGGAAATGATCGCAATAACAAGAATGAGGTGGGAGGGGAGAAGAAGAAGAAGAGAGAGGAGTAAGAAGAGGATGGAGGAGGTCGCAGGGACAAGTAAGAGGGAACAAAGAGAAGAAGATGGAAGAGGAAGAAAAAGAAGGGAAAAATCACAGGCACAAGGAAGAGAGGACAAAGAGAAGAAGAAGAAGGTGAAGGAGGAAGAAGAGGAGGGTGAAGGTCGCAGGAACAAGGAGGAGGAAACAAAGAGTAGAAGGTGGAGTAGAAGAAGAAGAGGAAGTAGAAGAAGAGGGGAGAAAAGATGAGAGGAACAAGAAGGAGGAAGTGGATGAGGCAGGAAGAAGAAGAGAAAAAGAAGATGGTGTTCAAGACCAAGATGAAAAAGAATTTTGTGGTCTTATGAAGGTAAATTGGGTTGAAAATTCATAGCTTGGGAGATTTATATGACTTTCAGAGATTTCGTCCAAGAAGGCATCATTGTTTTCGCAAAGTGTTTTTTTAACAACACGAAACAAAAAATGCAGATTGCTGTTTCCGTCTGAATTGATAACAACGCCTGGCCGACAGGAAAATAGACATCTTGGCAAACGTGGTTAGGCATTTTTAGCAAATGTGATAAAATCAGTCGAAGGTGAAAGATGAAAGACACAAAGCCGTTTCAGAGGAATTAGCATAGAAAAATTCAAAGCAGTCGACCATGAATACAAGAACCGACTTCATCATTGGAATACACGTAGCTATATGTGTTAAATAGTAGGGTAGACCGGACTCTCTAGCTTTGAGTGGCAACCAGTGTAAGAGACAGATCTTTCGGAAGTCAAAAGGCATCGAGAAACCGGTTTTCTGTTATTGCGAAAAAGTCATGACATCTCACAGATAAAAGAAAGATATGGAGAGCAAAAAAAAAAACCCTATGTCATCAAGGCTATAACTATATAACTACAAGTTCAAGCAGACGATATTTATGTTTTGATTCTGTTACAAACAAGACAGATGCTTCCCTTTTTTATTCTACCGTAGACCGGACAGATATTTTCCTTTTGTTTATTCTAGTACAAACTGGAGAAATGTCTTACTGTTTAACTCGAGTACAAACCATACAGACGTTTCACTTATTGGCACATGTTCATTCTCTATCTAGTCTCTCGTCTTAAACGGATTCATTGTCTCCCTGTCTATGAATTCATTGTGATTACTGTCCTATATCGTTTATATTCTTCATTAAAGAACATCTGAAATTAAACAAGTGAAATTAAACAATATTACCTATATTTCCTTTCGCCTATTGTATTACTTTGGCCCACAATGCCTCAGTCGGAAGGTGAGAGTATGGAACTAGAATTTAAAATTAATTTCCAGTGTAACACCCGCACTCAGCATTAAAAATTTATTTATGTGAAATTCTACATGCTCTATTCGAATCTGGTTTGATAAAGTTGATAAAATCTACCGTTTTGGAGTTATCGACAGTGAAATTTGGGATTCAATTGCGTCGTTGGCGGCCGCCATTACTCGCGTTGTTTGCATACATTCGCTGCGGAAAGCTAAACGCGGAACTGATCTTTCTTGTCTAAATTTGTCGCAATTACTACTCACAAGAACTATTCATGTAGACACGGTTAATTTGCGTAATAATGATACCTATACTGATAGCTATTCTGCAGCGAATGTATACAAAGAACGCCCGTAATGGCTGCCCGCGACGCAAATGAATCCAAACTTTCATTGTCGATAACTCCAAAAAGTTAGATTTTATCAAATTTATCAAGCCAGATTCGAATGGAACATGTACAATTACACATAAATGTAAGTATTTTGGAAATTTTTTAATGCGAACTGAGTGCGGGTGTTACACTGCAAATTAACCGAATTTAAACCCTCCAATCAATAACCTATATTTTTCCCCTTGTTATAGATGACAGTCTGGTAAAAAGCTATCTGACATGAAAGTGGGTAAGAAATTGATGTGCGTCATTTTCCATTTTGTTACTATAGACATCAATGAATTTTTGTGAACGTTCCTGGAGACGAAACAGTGGATGTGAGTACGGTTAGATAGCGAGAATTACCTTTCAACAGGTGTCACGGCGATCTGTGTTAGAAGCCGCGTTCTCTGTAGGCCTGGATAACTGCCAATCCAGGGAAGGCTTCATAGTGCGTCAAAATGCATTACCAGCGGTAGAGACTATGTGGAAAAGTGAGTACTATTTAAAGATGAAATTTGCTCTATCCAACAGTATAGGCGTCCTCCCTGTATAAGTTGTAGGTTCCATGGAAAAATCGGGGCATTATTTTTGGAGCGTCCCTCATTTCCTCGCTTCATATGTTGATTCCTTTTTATAAGACCGTATGTATATATGGGGAGGGATATACATATATATGTGCAAGCTAACGGGGACATGCACGCACACGCGATACACAAAAATGGAAATAGATTTGACAGTCTCAAGGGTAATGCAGAGACAGGAAAACATCTCTCATCAACACATCTATCATCACCACCTCCTAAACCAAACCTAATGATTTTATTACCATTTGGGCAGAAATTCACTTTTTACAACAGTCCAGAAATGAGATCAAGGCTCACTATAAATACGAACAATGGATCATTAAAAAACGAACAATGAATCATTAAAAAAAACATAAGGAAAATTTATTCCTTTGAAAATTGATTTCTTTTATTTGTCTGAAGAAGGTCAGGAAACCGAAACCCGTGTAGCAGAAATATGAAGAATAAAATATAATATATACACTAAAACAAATCCACATTATAACCAAAAACGTTTTTTTTTTTAAATATACATTTTTTTCTCGTTGGAACTACTATGACAATTATGAGGTTGGTGCAAAAATAATGACGTAATGATGTCGTTTTTTGACGTTAAAAAATACGTCCAAAAACGACATTATTACGTCATTATTTTTGCACCAACCTAATATATATACACACACACATATATATATATATATATGATAATGGAAGAAGAATGACAGAATCAGACAACGCTTATTTTGATAATTCTAAAATGTTGGAAATTTATTTTACACTCCTTACCATTATCTCAGATAAATAATAGGTCATTGCACTTTACATGTGATGATAAAGGAAAGAAAATGTTATGCCAGAGATGTTGTCTGGTTTTAGTGACAAAACGAACGCCGGTACATTAATAAGAAAGAAAGAAAGACAGGAATAAAGATTAATTCGTTTTTTTACGGTTTATCAACCCATTACAGATTATTTATGCCAGAAAATATTTTAAGATTATAAGATTTTGGGCGGGGAGATAATAATGATTTAACGACACAAGTCTTAATAATCACCCCATAGCCGGAGTTTAAATAGATGGCTTCATACGATTCCCAAAGGTATTTTGCGCGTAAGAGAATATAACGAATAACGAATCCAACTGGAATCTGAACTCGGCTCTACGATTGACAGTTTTGATCTTTTATCAGTTACACCACCCGCACATCTAAGCTTGCAGCACATGGTATTCCCAAGCAGTCACCCGTCTAGGTACTGAATAGGCTCGATGTTGCTTTCGATGAATGATAAAATAAAACAGAGAAAAAGGATAACGCTCTCAGACTGCTTAGCGTCTGCTTCACTGAATGGGAAATCTTTTTCAGGTCTTTAAATAATGTCCTGCATTCATTTTTATATTTACTGCAATATATTGTTAAAGTTATTAACCTCTGGGTATTTAACGAGGCGAATTTTCAGTGATATTTTTATAGTCTTGGAAATCTTAACCCTTTGAGTCCTGACTACCGCTTTACTGGTGGTAGAGAAAATGACGTCATTTCCAGCCACCGGTTGAGCAGTGGTAGAGAAAAATGAATTAATGCTCAGCCACCGGTTGAACGGTCGGTAAGCACTTGCGTCTTGTTTTGCTATTGGTTGTCTTATTTTGAAGAGCCAATCAGAAAAGCCGTAATATTCTGATGTCATTGAATGTTACACCAACATGTCCGCGCCTTTTCACTGTGTTTTGTGCATGTGTTTTGGATAAAAAAAATGATCGTTTTTACCATGAAGCTTGCAGAGTCTCACCCTGGACCGTCAGGGAAGCAATCAGGAAATTATATTTTTTGTAACTATTTTTATATCTACTGTGAAACATGACATACCAATTATTTGCGAATTTTGACCCTTCTGCTCAAGCAGAAGGATTAAAATTCTTCAGTAACGTTGTGTTCAAAGAGTTAAGAAACCTATTTCCTCATTAAATGAAAAAAAAATATGAGTTCAGAAAATTCAAAATATTTGGAAATCGGGAAATTTTCGCGGTGGGGAGAGTTTTTATTAATAAGTGTCGCCAATAATCTAAAGAAAAAATATTGTGGATGTATCAGTTCTTATGAGACAGGAGTAGAACTGACGTAAGGAATTTTTTCTTTTTTAGTCGCCTTTTTCTCCATTTACTCACACTCATAGACCGACTGCACCGTGCTTGTTTCCCGAAGATAAATGAAGCATAAAATCCCTAAATATTAACACTTCATTTAATTTCAGCTCTCATTTTACGGGCTTTAAGTTATTTTAAGAGAAAAGTTTCTTAAAAAATAAATAAAAATAAACTCTTTATCACCTTAATGCGTGTTTCATTTTGGGGGGCATGGGGAGGAGCGTGTGTCACGAATACTTTTTGTCATTGATTGATGGCTTCGGTCCAAAAGTAAAAAATATATATATATATATATATATATATATATATATATATATATATATATATATAGTGTAATCTAATATTTTTTCTTTATACTTATCATACGTTTCGGGATTATATGCAGACATTTCATCCACCCTCTTTTTGATTGCATGTATATGTGTGTTAACATATGCTTGCATGACGACGCTCATCGACATCGGCTGAGAAATAGTCAGTTTGGAAAAAAAACGTGGAACCAGCGTATCATAAAAACGTATTCAATAAAAGGCAATAAAGCCACTGAGGTGCAATGGTTACAGAGTGTTAGAGAATGTATGAAAAAAGAAAAAAAACACTATTAAGGAGAGATAACAATAAACGAATTAAGAAGACAGAAGGTAACGATTGGCACTGTATGTAAAATTTTGAAGATAAAAGTTAATTGGGGGGCCAGAAGCCAGAAGAAAGTCCCTCAAGCGAGAATGGCGATAGAAAACAACAAAAAACTTACGGTTATATTTAGCCATTTCAAAAAATTTATGATGAGACCATGCCGCCAATCTAGTACTGCGCTTATATTCATAAAGTCTAGGTATCAGAGAGGTAAGGTCATCAAATAATTAGCATGAAAGTATTTATAGAAAAGGCAGAGGGAAGCTACGTTACGGTGATGGGGAAAGGGACCGAAACCGAGATAACAGCTCAGGACCAATAACATTGCATAGATAAATAGAGAGAGAGAGAGAGAGAGAGAGAGAGAGAGAGAGGGGGAGAGAGAGAGAGAGAGTAGGGGTTAGCCAATGTGCGCACGATTGAGTAACGGATCGAGGCGCGATTTGAGGAATCGAAGAGCCGAGTTCGAATTCCAGTCGAATTCCTCTCTTGGAAAAGGTATGAAAGTAGCCCTCCCCCAGCTATGATTAAATAGCAGAACAAACTGGGTCCTTAGGAGGTAAGCGGACTAGGAGAATGACAACTCTGAATTCAAAACCTGCGGAGGTTCGTTTGGAGGAAACCTTTAGCATTCTGTGCACCAGTTCTCTGTATTCGGCTCTTCCAAAAAAGTGTGATTGGTTCTGGCCAAGCCTTCACCACTATGAGCCAGTGATATGTTCGAGTAATCGGGCTAAGGACGAAGACAAACCTATTGTAATTTACCCCTGAAGATGATCTTAAAAAAGGTCGAAATTACTTGGTTTAGAAAAAACAAAAAACAAAAAAACTCCGGTGCCTTCCTTGATGAATTTTATCTCAACTTCAAAAAACTGATTAAACAGCTGAAAGGGATCAGTATAAAAACAAGTAGATACAATATGTCTATATTTTTCAATGTAAATGTTTTAATGAAATATGATAATATATATATATATATATATATATATATATATATATATATATATATATGTGTGTGTGTGTGTATGTGTGTGTAAAAAATCAGATAGAATAAAAGGACAATATAAATAAAGTCAAAAACAAAACTTATCTTCGCCGACGTGTTTGCCTTGATAAGTCCTGCGTTAGCTAAGATAAGTTTTCCTTTTTCTTTTCATTCATATATATATATATATATATATATATATATATATATATATATATATATATATATATATATATATATATATATATATATATATATATATATATATATATATATATATATATATATATATATATATATATATATATATGTGTGCGTGCGTGTGTGTGAAGGTTTATGTAATATTTAAGTAAAGAAACATCTTTTATGTGCAATTGGAACATTTGACCAGACCAGATACCCATTGTAATGTGGTGTCAGGGTTGGGTGGATATCGAGTCAAGATGAGGGTGAGCAAGGAGGTGGAGGAGAAATCTGGCTGAGGGGCTGCGGCAGTGAAATTGTTGAAGTTTTGCTGTGTGTGCCACAGCATCTAAACTATTCACTTGTCACTTCAGGATTTGTAAAAATTCCCACATGTCTAAGTGTGTCCGTTTCTATATTCATTTCTCTATCAGAGATTTCGAAACAACTTACAACATTTCCACGTCACTTCGTTCGCATTAATCTTTGTCAGTTCATCCCGTCGCACGATTGAATTACAACACACGGACAGCCTGTTCGCTTTGCCATTTTTTTTTTTGGGGGGGCTTTTTCCTCTCTTTTTTCTTTCTTTCTTTTTTCTTTCTTTCTTTTTTCTTTCTTTCTTTCTTTTCTTTCTTTGTTTTTTCTTTCTTTCTTTTATTGTCAATTTACGTTTCCTTTCCTTTATACTGCGATCATTTTTGTTTTCTTTCTTTTAACGTCTATTTTTTTCTTTCTTTCGTTCTTTCTGTCTATTTCTTTCCATTATTTCTTTCTTTCTTTGATTCATACTATTTTCATTCTATATTCTTTCTTTCTTTCATATATGCTTTATTTTATTCCCTTTTTCTTTCTTGTACACTATATTCTTTCTTTTCTCTTCTATAGTCTACTTCTTTTTCTTTCTTATTTTTTTCTTACTATATACATTCTTTCTTTCTTTCTTTTATTGTCTATTTCTTTTTCTTTCTTTATTTCTTATATTTTTATGCTATATCATTTCGTTTTTTAATTTTTCTATATTCTTTTATTCCTTCTTTCTTTTAATGCTTATTTCTTTTTTACTTTCTTTTACACTATATTTCTCCTTACGTTCTTTCTTTCTTTCTTTCTTTCTTTCTTAGATTTACTTATGTTTACTTCTTTCTTTTTTCTTTTCTTTATTTCTTATATTCACTACGTTTTCTTTCTTTTATCGCATATTGTTTTTCTTTCATTCCTTCTTTTTCTATTTCTTTTTATCATTTATTCTCTATATCTTTCTTTTATACGATATTCATTCTTTCTCTTTTCTTTCTTTCTTTCTTTCTTTATTCATTTATTCCTTCCTCCATTATTTTATTGCCTATTTCTTTTATAACGTTTTCTTTCTTCCCTTCTTTCTTTTATTGTATAGTATTTATTTACTTCTTTTATTCTATAGTATTTCTTTCTTTCTTATTTCTTTCTGTCTTTCTTTTATTCTATAGGCTTTCTTTTTCTTTCTTTTATTCTCTCGTATTTCTTTCTTTCTATAGTATCCTTTTTCTTTCTTTTATTTTCTAGTATTTCTTTCTATCATTCTTTCTTTTATTCTATAGTTTTTCTTTCTGTCTCTAGTATTTCTTATTTTCTTTTATGCTATAGTATGTCTTTCTTTTATTCTATAATATTTCCTTCTTTCTTTCTTTTACTCTATAGTATTTCTTTCTTCTTTCTTTCTTTCTCTTTCACTTTCTTTCTTTCTTTCTCTTTCACTTTCTTTCTTTCTTTCTTTCTCTTTCACTTTCTTTCTTTCTTTCTTTATATTACTTATGCTTTATTACTTTCTTAACGATTTTTTCTCTTGTTTCTTTTATACGATTTTCTTTTATTTCTTACATTTTCTGTCTTTCATTTTTATTCTATATTCTTTCTTTGTATACTTGTTATATATAAATTATTCATTATATTATATATACATACCATTTTGTATTAGATAACATATATGTGATAACATCTATATATATTTTATATTATATATAATGCATGATATACACATTGTATGCAGCTTGGTTTGTACGAGAGTTAAACAGGTAGACATTGGTCCTATTTGCACGGAGACACAAAGGCATACATAGGACCCAAAAAGAATAGACATAAGGCCCTAAAAGAATAGACATAGGGCCCTAAAATAATAGCCAAATGATCTTAAAAGAATAAACATAGGGCCCTAAAAGAATGGACATAGGAACCTCAAAGAATAGACGTACGTCTTGTTTGGTACGAAAGTCACAAAAGACGAAATTGCTTTGGTTTGCACAAGAATAAAAAGGTTGACATTATTTCGATTTTCCCGAGAGTCTAAAAGGTTAAACACAATTTTTCACAATCAAAAAGGTAGGTATAAATTTCGGTTGCACAAAAATTCAAAGGTAGCCATAGGTATGGTAAACAAATGGTTATCTTTCTGGTGGTGGTTGTCCCTTTGCACGGGAAGCAATCAACGTTTACTTGGTCTAAACACAGCGGGTGTTTTTTTCGAATTTCGCTCCTTCCAAGTTTGATAAATCGCACCATAGGTTTTTGCTATCATTTACAGTTTGAGTGACAAGAGAAATTGTTTCTTCAAGTGCTCATTCTTCTCTTTCCTTTTGTCAGACATTATGACATGCCAGTAACGAGGCATTTTTATCAAGCTATCGGGCGATTGAAAACAGTGTATTGATGTGAATGCATTCATTTCCCAAAAGTACGTGTGTGAAGTGAACATAATAGTGCCAAGCTGAAATTCGAACTCCGGATGTCGATTTTGTTTTACGGGACATCACTCTTTAGCGCTATCGCACCCCCCAAGTTTATAGTGAATAACTACCCCACAGGTTTGGACGACCTAGTTCTCTCTCTCTCTCTCTCTCTCTGTCTTTTTCTCTTTCTCTCTCTCTACCTTTCTACACCTTTTCAGTTACTTTCTGTCTCTCTCTCTTTTTCTCGCTCTCTTTCTCACTCTCTCTCTCTCTTTATCTCTCTCTCTTTCCCTTTCTCTCTTTCTCTCTCTTTAAGTGCCACGTTTCTTTAGGATATCGGCTATCATAGCACTTTAAGCCTTCATCTGTTTGTTAAATCTTTAAACTTCACGCCGCCATGATTGTTTTGTGGTAGAGGGGACTTTCCCCAAGCATTTTCCCAGTTTTTCATATGGTTTTCTCTTAGACTGGTTAACATCAAAGGCGAAAAAACACAATCTGCTTCGAGATTTATCCCTAGCTAAGAGACTGATACATATTTTTTCACAAGAGCAGAGAGGCGAAAATTAGAAAATATTTCAGTTGGAATTCGAACCCGGCACTCATATTTCATTTTCCTTGTTGTTAACTATTTCTCCATCCATACCTTATAAGTGTTGCGTATTATAAAAAGAAAGTTCTAGAATCCATATCTTTAACCCTGGATTTAAACATTCAGTTTTAAAGAGTTAGTCATGATGATATTTCTTTGGGTGTTCAAGAAGGCTGTTCAGATTACAAATGTGCAAATCAACATTCGCTGAGTTTTGAATTTTGTCAGCTGCATTAAAAGGCATTTGTGTCGATTAAGAGCAATCAGACAGGCGAAAAATATCATGTAATTTCATCTTATGTCCAACACGTAGCTAAACGTGTCTCTCCCAACACCCAGCCTCTTGCCTACCTTTAGGTTCATTCGGATTGCCACACCCTCTGCTCCCTACCGGAACATCCGACCTTTGCTACCCTTAACTTCAACACTAATACAGCTGGATACAAACTACACACCTGATGTCTGGAGGTCAAAAATATTAGTACGCCGAACAGTCTTCATCTTAACATACTATCGGATCACGAAAGTTAAGTAACGTTGAACCTGGTCAGTACATTGATGGGTGACCTCTGGGGAACACCAAGTGCTGTAAGCTTAGATGTACAGGTTGTATAATGGATAATGTCTCAGAATTGTGAATCGGAGAGCCGGGTTCGAATTACTATTCGCTGCATTCACTTACGCGTGAAAACTTGAGAATGTTATGAATCCAACTCTCCTCTCCCCAGCTATGGGTTAAATAATGAGACTTGTATCTGGAAATCATTATTATCTCCAAAGAATTGTTAATATAGTATTCACTTCCCAGAAAGTAGAGAGGAATTTTTCTTAAAATTCAAAAATTTGTTTCGGCTTTATATTGTGTATAAAAAAGATTGATAGGCTGTTAAAAAAAAAATAAAACCAAAAAACAAAACAAACAAACAAAAAAAAAACAAATTAATCATAGTAAATAATAGTTAAGATAAAATTAACCGTATCCATACAGGAAATATTAGGCATTTTTTGACGGAACAGTTAGTCTAAATGTCGGTTGACATTTTTAAAATTTATAAAATCTAGACTTCTCAAACCAAATACTGCTGCTCTCTCTGGTATGAATGAATGTTTCCTTTCAAGCCGTTTGTTCAAATTCATGTGGAAAGTTAATATTTTATCAGTTTATATTCCTTTCTGGTTATGCGTGATACCAATTTTTGCTTTTAATGTACGTCTGCAAATCGTATGGGATTTGTTATTTGCTAAAACACTTTCGTCGTGATTTTGTAGAGGCAATTTGTAATCTCTGATGAAGGATTACATTCTTTTAAGGCACTGAGGCTTTAAAATAATTAAGTAATTTTAACCTAGTGTGGCACAAGGTTACATATTGAGGGCACCCAGTATGGCATGAAGTCAGTACACTATGGCATTTAGTTACCACGACTCGGCAGGCGCTACCTTGTAAGAATTTACGGAAACCTTTAAAATATTTAAGATTAACACAGTGTGGCGTTGTTTTGCGCAAATTTGACTGATGCGATATTGGTGCTCAGCGGTGAGGGTATGTTTTGGATATCTTAAATATTTAACGGAAAATAACCTGAATGAAAATATGGACCCCGGCGGGGACTTATATATGTCGCCTTATAAACACAAACACGTGCCTCATGCGAAGGCAGTTGTACGCGCACTGTGACGATGTCTGTTGTTCAGAGTTATAGCTGTGGGAAGCTTAAGAGTTTCCATCTATATATAAGATTCTATGACTTCTGTCCATCTGTCCGTCTAAAATAGCCATACATTGACCGATTGAAACCAAATTTGGACGAGAACTGCAAACAGGTTTGTACAGTTGGTTTTACTAGGGTACGTAGCTTAGTACAATAAATTTTCATTAATGTTTTTGAAAAAAAAAATTATAAATAAATAGTTTTATAATCTAACATACAAAATACTCCCACCATATTAAATCAATTTAATGATTAAAATAACAAATACTTATTTAATAAAAATACAATATTGATTTTTTTTTCTTATCTTTTCTTTAAGTTTATGTATACAAGAATCCAGTTTCCAGCTCGCCCTACATTTGCGAGGGCTATAAAAAAATCACAACCCCAGAAATTTGGATCCAGAAATAAATATGTACGCATGGCAAGTTGTACGATGCATGATTAAGAATAAGAAATCCTAAGAATTTATTCTTCGCTGTTAAAAAGGAAAAAAAAAATTCTTAAAAAATATTGTTTACCATGAAGTCCTATAAAATTAAATTACATTAAAGAGATTATGAAACCGTGAAGTAGGTTTTTTTGTCAAGGTATTCCCCCTAAAAAAATACAAACAAAACAGTTTATTTAAATTTCATCGATTGGTTTACTGTGACGATTTCAAAAGGCGTCAGGGTGTTGCAAAAAATTCTACTGTTCAAAAGTACAGTGGGTTGATATTCTGGGAACAAAGAGAAAGTTTTGACAGAAAAAAAAACATATGCAAAGCAAAAGCATACGCATATAAATATGATCAGATGCACACGCTAAGACACACAAGAAACATACACAGGCATACACCGAAACACACAGAGATACACACACACACCAACATGCTCCCTGTTCAGTCATTCATTTTTTCGTTGAAGCAAGAATACATTCTTTTACTTTTGTTTCGTGTTTACTTCACCAACATGTTTATCCCTTTTGCATACCGTCAACGGGGTTTAGTATACGCCGACTGTAACCCCTGCTGAGGGGTAAGATGAAAAGTGGCCACCACCGGGGCTTAGCATACGCCGACTGTAACCCCTGCTGAAAAGGGCCACCATTCGGATGGATACTCATAGACAGTGCCAATGCAAGGGTCTCGTACTCCCACCCGAATCTATAATACGAAGCCCCCAACTTTACTACAGCTAAATTTTCCTAAGGTAGTATTCATATAAAATACAAATTTTACTGTAACGGAATTATGTACAATAATTGATCGTATGCAATATAGGTGAACAAATAGAAAAAATGAAAATAAATAAAATGTATCTCACTACAAATTACAGACATGTCATCATTATTTACACTATTTACATTGTTTGTTGTACTCAACTTCGTTGGGACATTCACGATGTTTCGGTCGTTGTACGCTCCGGCCTTCTTCAGGTGATTTCGAAATTTCGGGCTCAAGGACGCATGGTTGTGTGGATAAAAGCGTTGGTTGAATCCAGTGACTTCACTCGAAGAGTTGTGAGTTCAAAATCTGACTACAGCTGAGGTGGACAAAAACTTGCAGAGGTGAGTTAAAAAGAAAAATAACTGATACTGAAACATCCGTAAGAGGCATGGCACGTGGAACAATCTACCTCGGTAGATGATATAAGGTTCAGTACGAAATTCAAATCACTTGAAGACGGTCGGAGCGTACAACGATGGAAACGTTGTGAATATGACAATGAAGATGAAGACAACGGTTCGAATAATGTAAACAGTGTAAATAATTACAATACCTGATCTCAGAAGTATAAACAGATCCTGAAGAAGGCCGGAGCGTACAACGAGCGAAACGTCGTGAATATGACAACGAAGATGAGGACAACGTCCGAATTATGTAAACAGTGTAAATAATTACAATACCTCATCTTAGAAATATAAACAGATATGTCATAGATAGATAATACCAACTAAAATAAATTAATAATGTTTTGCGGCAATTTTTAACATTAACTTTTTCGTGTTAAAAAGATGACAAAAATGAAGACATTCAACATATTGAATAGAAAATAGTCAATTTTATATAGTTTTTTCGTGACTTAGCATGAGTAAAAGAAATTCAGAGATGAGATTTAGCTAAAAAAAAAAAAAAGATCCCCTAGAATGACGGGAAAAATTTTCAAGCTATAATAATCCCTTTTACTTAGTTTAATTTGTAACGTATATTAATGTAGGTAGAAAAAAAAGCAAATGTTGTTAAGATAGTATTCAGCCTCCAGATGAAATATATTTGTATATTTAGCTTCCAGATGAAATATATGAAAACTAGTTGAAAGTTTTTTCGTTTTTTTTAAATCTGTTGTTAACGTTTTCTTCAATAAGAACATCATAATTAAATTAAAAAACAACAACAACAACAACAAAGGTAATATTACCATGGCAAATCTTGAAGTTAAAACGCTCTGGATAACTTGAGAAGGTTTGAAAATTTAACAATAAATTAAAAATTAAATTAAATTAATAAATTAAAAATTAAGAATATTTGTCTTTGAATAAAATAAATATCTCTAAACAAAACAATAAGATTTGTACATAGGAATAATAATAATAATGATAATAAAAATTATAAAATAATAATAATTATTATTATTATTATTATCACAATAGCAATAATAATAATAATTATAATAATAATTAAAATAATATAATAATAATTATACTAATAATATTAATTATAATAATGATAATAATAATAATAATTATAATTTCAATAATAATAATAATTATAATAATAATAGTAATTTTAATAATAATAATAATAATAATAATTATAATAATAATTACAATAATATTAATAATAATAATTATAATAATAATAATAATATAATAATAATAACTGTAATAATAATAATTATAATAATAATAATGATAATTATAATAATAATAGTAATTATAATAATAAAATTATAAAAATAATAATAATTATTATTATTATAATCACAACAGTAATAATAGTAATAATAATAATAATTATAATAATAATTAAAATAATAATAATTGTAATAATAATAATAATAATATTAATAATAATAATAATAATTATAATAATAATTTCAATAATAATAATAATAATTATAATAATAATAGTAATTTTAATAATAATAATAATAATTATAATAATACTTACAATAATATTAATAATAATAATTACAATAATAATAATTATTATAATAATAAAGATAATTATAATAATAATAGTAATCATAATAATAATTATAATAATAATAATAATAATAATAATTTCAATAATAATAATTATTATTATTATAAGAGTATTATAATAATAGTTATAAGAACAAAAATATATTAATTCACTTTTATATTATATCTGGTTTTATTACAATTCTAATCATCACTTTTTAAAACAACAAACTTTATCGAGGAGTGAAGGGAGTTAAAATAATAGCGGTGTCAAGGGAAAATCCGTCATTTTGACACTCATATTTTTGCGCGCGCGAAGGTCCAAGTTTGTCAAATACTAGTTATGTAAGGGGCCAACCATTAACCGACTTATCTATATATTTTAGTTAAACTGGAAAAGTCCAAGTAATCAAATACATCTATAAGATTTTTCTTCGTTTGTTTGCGATATCAAGTCATTTAAATATTTCGAATTCAATACGCATCGTTTCTTGCAGTGAATAGTTTTCGTGAAAAAATACAAATAACTGGACTAGTGTAAGAATATAGAAAGCTTGACACAAACCATGCAACGTGATTTGTAAAATATTCATTTGGTGGTAGTGTTGAAAATGTTAGACTCGACGCAGCTGAGTCAGGAGAAGTCATATTAATATGTGATTTATCTCTGGCACTTGAAGAAAGAGAAGACGTATTAGCTGAAGAGGAAATGTCATTTATAACCCCGGAAATAATACAATAATTCTTGTGTCCAGACCAAATAGCAAACATACCAAATAGCAAACATATTATATATACCGGTTGTAACAGCAAAATTGTCCAAATCGTGTAACAGCATAATTGTCCATCCCACAAAATGTTTAATATCTAAAAAAAAAATAACACTAAACTAATTGAGATTCTTTTTTCCAGGTTTTCAGATAAGACGTTTAGCCATCTTGACACCATTTATCGCAAGAATCACTGAAACATCGTTTGAGTTATTCAGCTAAAAAGAGAACAGGTTAAAATCGTTTTGTGTCAGTCCCACTGTCTTACCAAATGAGCAATGGTGAGAGGAAAATAACATTCAGGCCTTTAGTAATGGTACCAGCATTCATACTCTGGTTTCCATCTTTGAAGTCTATTCAAGAACCATCAAGAGAACGGTGAATAAGTTCAAAAAGAGAAAACAGTAGAGAGGAAAACTGAATCAGCAGGTGACGGCAGCAAGAGGGATCATCATTTCAAATTAGAGCTCAATTCATAAGACGTTTGGCATGTGAGAGATATTTTTTCCTGTATGGCAATGCAACGAGCAGTGAAAACAGACTTGGAAATGAAATCGTACGTGAAAACAGTGAACACGTTGTTACACCAGGACAGAAAGTTAGAACGGTAGAAAGGGCGAAGATTATATTGAAGTAGTTGAAAAAGGTTCCTGCAATAACAGCACACACACACACACACACACACACACACACACACACACACACACATATATATATATATATATATATATATATATATATATGAACTTTATTTCAATGCTTCATGAGCTACCGATCCTTATCTATGATTAATTAACGATGAACTTGTCATTTTCATTGACTATCGATTTCATCACGATATTTCTTAGAGAGTAATTATACATTCTTATAGCTCAAAGTAGAGTCTAATAGTGTTATAAAAAACCTCGAAGAATTCCAGTAAGATATCTTTAATCATATCTAAGGCACAGCGGTTCAGAGCTTAATCTATTGGACAATTTTAGTGTTACACGGTTTGCACAATTTTGGTGTTACATTCGGTATATATATATATATATATATATATATATATATATATATATATATATATATATATATGTATGTGTGTGTGTGTTAAAGACAAACAGACCACTTTAAGGTTATATTTATAATAATTTATTTCACCAGAGCCCTTTTAAAGGACTCCGGATCATCAGATAGCACTTCCAAAAATAAGACCAAAAATGAAAAAAATAAAAATAATTAAATAAATTATTATAATGGAATCATAAAGTGGTCTGTTTTTCTTTAAAATATTAGCTCTGGATTTACATTGAGCTCTCAGTATTTCATCCTCTTTGGGATTACCCATACGGATTACCAAGTTTTTAATAACTATATATATATATATATATATATATATATATATATATATATATATATATTAGGTATTGTTCTAAGCTTATTTTTTATTACTTTCAGGTAACGATGATGACAAGAAAGAAGACAAGCGACGGAAAGAGACGCTGAAAACAACGTCGTAACCGCACAACATTCAACAGTACTCAGTTAGCTGCGCTGGAAAGAGTATTTGAAAGGACACATTACCCCGACGCCTTCGTCCGGGAAGAACTCGCTCGGCGTGTCAATCTCAGTGAAGCTCGAGTACAGGTAACTAAATTTGTTTCTAAGTCTCTAAGTATATATTTTTTTACTGTATATAGCTAATGCCAGAAAGCCCATATATATATATATATATATATATATATATATATATATATATATATATATATATATCAGATAACGATATATATTTATTGGATGCCGATCATAATCCCGAATATTAAAATCCCAAAAGTCAAGATCCTGTAGATTAAAATCCTGGAATTTGAAATCCCGAATTTATAGAATCCCGAAAGATCAAAATCTCAAAATTTAAAATCCTGACACATAGTGAAAAGCGAACATTGGGTCGAAAATGTTGACAACAACTGCAAAAGACTTTCAAAGCATGAGTGTTTAACCTTTCATTGTTACTGAAGAAAGCTTAGGAATTGGTTGGTGAATTATTTGAAAGAAGGGTGGGTTTGTTTAATAACACATGATAATCTTTTGATATCAGTATATTCATATTTCAAAATCCAAATAAAAGAACGAGAATTTTCTTATTGTCTTTTAAATAAAATATATCCCTCTTCCTTGTTTATAACCTCCTGCTGGCGATCCACTAACTGTTTTATGCCTCGACGATAGAAGTCTTTTTTTGACTCGAAAATCATTGTCATGTTTTAAGCTTCACAACGTTGTTGAAGGATTCACCCCTCAAATTGTTTGAAAGCGCCCGAAAAAAGCTGGTAATTTGATATGGCTAAATCAGGGGAATCAGTGGTGTGTCAGAACTTCAGAACTGAACTCTTTAATTGAACGTTCGGAAAAGCTAGCAATGTGAGGTTAGCATTGTCATGTTGAATAAGCACACTGTATCGCCAGTCAGGTCTTTTCAGTTGAATTGCATTTTTTCTTTAGTCTGTTTGTTTAACATATAACTTAGCAGTGGACGTTTGATTGTTTCGAAGTATTTCATAATGAATTAGTCCTTGCCAGTCCCACCAAACACAGATCATTCGCTTGCATGGATGCATCTCTGGCTTGGTTCGTCGTGTTACCTGCTTGTTGGGATTCAAGCATTCTTTGCGCGGTTTCATATTCACGAAAAAAAAACACCATTTGTTGTGATAATATGATTAAGAAATTTTGTATCCACGAGTATCCTGGTGTCGAGTAAGTAAACTGGTAGCAATGCGGAGCGCTGATGTTTGTTTCTCTCGGTGAGTGCGTGTAGCACCCATGCTCTGTGTTTCTAGATATTATCCATTGAATGAAGATGACTAGCAAGTAACAGGAGAGATTGCTATCTTCTGAGCTGATTCTCTCGTGGGGTCTGGGGCAGTTCTTCTTTAATCAGCTCATGCAATTGGTTCTCATCTGTGAGTTTGAACTTCGTCAACTTGAAACGAAAAAACAATTTTTGTGCAATTCTGTCGGTACTGAAGTCATCTCCCTACGCAGCACAAATGTTTTGAGCAGCTTTGTGACTTTGATTAAAAGCAAAGTGAAGTTGTCGAAAATGCTCATTCTTGGCATTCCATCTGAAAGTGGTATCTGATCTGAAATAAAACTTTAATTACCTTAGACAGTTACACAGGATGACCAGAGTTAGGAGGAACAAAAAAAAAAAAAAATAAATAAATAAAAATAAAATAAAAATGCAACATAATATTATTCTTAGGTGTCATTTAAATCATCAAATTTTAAAACAATGTTCAACTTCAAATTAAAATAGCTCAACTCTAAATTAAAAACGTCGAATTCTAAATTGACAAAAGTTGAGTGTCATAACAAAATGTTTTTAGTGTAAAAAGATACAATTTTATTTTGCAAACGAACGAACATTATAATCGCAGAGGCATAATAAAAAAAATTAACCATAATCCCACATTGTGCGACATTTAAGGATCTTTTGCTAAATTTGGGGTAAAGTATTGCCGTACAGGTTTTCTGAAGCCTTTTAATTATGTGTTTTTTTGATTGTTTATAGATTTTATCACGTCTCAGATAATCACGATTGTTGTATAAATTTTTATACAGAAAACAAGCGCATGCGTGTTGCCACACATACCACTCAGAAAATACCTCTCAGGAAATTGAACAGGTCGGACAGAACGCGCAGAATCTGTGAGTTCGAACTTCCTCAACTAGAAACGAAAAAACAATTTTTCTGCCATTCTGTCGGTAATGAAGTCATCTCTCTACGCAACACAAATGTCTTGAGCAGCTTTGTGACTTTGATTAAAAGCAAAGAGAAGTTGTCGAAAATGCTCATTCTTGGCATTCCATCTGAAATGGGTGTCTGATCTGAAATAAAATTTTAATAACGATAGACAGGACAGTTACACAGGACAACCAGAGTTAGGAGGAACTAAAAAAAAATGCTTCATAATATTATTCTTAGGTGTCATTCGCAGAGCATAAAAAAAAACAAAAAAAAAAACAAAACGAAAGAATATATGTAACAGACGTGAAGGAATTAGTGGAATAAAAATGTCAAAGTGGAGGTTGTAAAGAGACAATAGTAACATAGATCAATACATCAAGGACGCTGTGGAGGGCAATCACCATCCACGTCCAGAATGGACAGAGCATATAAAATATCTATCTGATTATATGAGTCATCTTTAAAGTTAATTATAAAATATTTACTTTAACAGCTGAGAAGAGATGTTCCCTAATATCTCAGCATCTAATTATTAGCATTTAAAAGTTGACCTAAGCTTACGAACGTACACTACGCTACAAACGTATCCTCAATTTTAAAAATCCTAAAATCACTCAGTGGCTCTTGGACCTTGATCTGGGGGAAATATTATTAACAAAATCAGTCTTATTTATGCATAAATTATCAAACACGTTTATTTGATGCTCTATAATTAAGTTTGTTTCTTTTGTAGATTTTATGACATCCCAAATAATCACGATTGTTGTGTGAATTTTTAGAAGACAAGCGCATGCGTGTTGCTGACTTATGTTGAAGTCATTTGTTATGAATAGTATGAGTAACCAATCATTAGTGCTTATTTTATAAGGTGTGGCAAAGAGTCCTGCCACGCATACAACTCAGAAATACCTCTCATCAGATTGAACAGGTCGGCCAGGGTCTGTGAGTTCGAACATCCTCTACTTGAAACGGAAAAAACAATTACTGCGCCATTCTGTTGATAATGAAGTTATCACCCTACGCAACACAAATGTCTTGAGCACCTTCGTGACTTTGATTAAGAACAAAGAGAAGATGTCGAACATGATCATTCTTAGCATTTCATCTGAAATGGGTCCCTCATCTGAAATAACGTTAGACAGTTACATAGGATTACCAGAGTTAAGAAGAACAAAAAAAAAATGCTACATAATATTATTCTTAGGTGTCATTCGTAGAACATAAGAAAAAAATGAAATAATATATGTAACAGGGTTGAACGAATTAGTGGCATAAAAATGTCAAAGTGGGGGTAGTAAAGAGACAATAGTAACATAAATGAAGAGAGAACGCTGTGGAGAGCAATCACCTCTTATTTATTTGAAGGCCTTTAATTGTTATTTTTTGTTTGTAGATTTTATGGCCCCCCCCCAATAAATCACGATTGTTGTGTGAATTTTTATACAGAAGACAAGCGCATGCGTGTTGCTGACTTATGTTGAAGTCATTTGTTATGAATAATATGAGTAACTAATCATTAGTGCTTATTTTATAAGGTGTGGCAAAAAGTCCTGCCATGCATACAACTCAGAAATATCTCTCATCAGATTGAACAGGTCGGCCAGGGTCTGTGAGTTCGAACTTCCCCTTCTTAAAACGAAAAAACAAAAACGAAAAAAAAAACAATTTCTGTGCCATTGTGTCGGTAATGATGTCATCTCCGTACACAGTACATATGTTTGGAGCAGCTTTGTGACCTTAATTAAAACTAGAAGATGTCGAACATGTTCATTCTTGTCTACTTAGCATTCCATCTCAAAGCTTGTCTCTAAGCTGAGATGAAATTTCATTAACGTTCCAAAGACGTACTGGGATGGCCAAGGACGCATTCCAAAAGCTAGGCAGAGTATTGCGAGACAGGAGGATTTCTTTGATAACAAAGAAAAAATTACTGACCTGATACGTGACATCTGTCCTTCTTTATGGCAGCGAATGTTGAACGGTCTCCTCAAAGATGAAGAAGAGACTCGAGGCAACGTAGGTATGGTTCTACAGAAGGATGCTAAAGATATCATAGACCGAGCGTGTGAGCAACGATAAGGTCTTGCAGAGGAGGAAAACAAGGTGGAAGCTTATACTTAACATAAGGAAGAGGCAGCTGAAATTTCTGAGACACGTAATGAGAAAGGAAGGCCTGGAGAATCTAATACTCACAGATCAAATAGAGGGAAAGAGAGACAAGGGAAAGTAACATGATATACGTGACGTGCTTAAGCAAGTGGATGACTGAACGTGGTTTGGGGGAGGTGTCAGAGGGACGAAACTTATTGAGAGCTACAAGGGATAGGACGAAGTGGAGAGCCATAATCGCTTACATCCTGAAAGGACACGACTCATATAAAGAAAGAACGTTAGACAACAGTTTCACAGGATGGACGGAGTTACTAAGTAGCAAGAAATGCTACGACAAACTATTCTTCGCAGAGCATCAGAAAATAAAAATCAATTAAATATATATAACAAGCCATTAAATTAACGTTTTATACAAGGAGAAGAAAACGTCTGTTTCTCTGAACATATGTTAAAAACGTGTATAATTATCCCTAGTTAAATTGTCCTTTATATTTTGTTATGCTAATTCTTAAATTTATTTATTTTTCAAAGGTCTGGTTCCAGAATCGTAGAGCGAAATTTCGTCGAAATGAACGGAACTCACTTGCACAGCGGAACAATCTCTACGGCGGTCACCATCCGGACAGTTCTACGCCTATCGAACAACCGATTACTCCGCGTCCCGCACCAATGAACACAGATTATTTGTCATGGACCACGCCGCCTTACAACCCTGTGACAACATCATCAAGCTGTGCCCTAGTGAACCACACCTATCCACCACAACACAATGTTGGTTCCAGTATTGCCTGTTTACGGCTGAAAGCGCAAGAATACAACAATGTTATGCAACATCCGGGTTACGGGCCGCCGACTCAGTTACCACAATAATGATTTCTTCTGGTGCCTTATGTGAAACGTGTACATCGCATCTAATACTATATTCGTCATTTTATAAGAACTGTTTTATTATTATTATTATTAATATTAATAATAATAATAATGATATTATTATTATTATCAACAAATATATATTTGAAAAGACGAAGAAATGCAAAGGATATTTTTCTGGAAGTGAAATTAGATTAATTGAGAAAAGAACATATTTTATATCTGTGTCAAAATGATAGCGGATTTATTTCGGAGGGAATCGTGTTGTAAAATATATAAGTAATGAATAATGAACTTTTTACACGTCATAATCAGTGACCATCTCTCCCTCAATTCAAGTTTCCCGTTAACAAGACCTACTAATATTATCCGTCCAAAATAAATAAACTTTTCACCCATCTCATATATATATACACAATAGTTCAAATGTTTGAGGCAAGCCCTGGTAATTTTTTATATTGGCCCCCAAAATATTTGTTTTGTACTTTAAATAAGAAAAATTATTACACATAATTAAAAAAAGTCAGAGATGATTTTTTATTAAAAATTTTATTATGACAAAAACTAAAAATGCATTTTATGATTAAAATTTGCTCTCGACAAAATATCCTCCTTTAGCCTTGATTACTGCAGCACAATTTTTTTGAACATTCGTTGGAAAAGTTCCTCAACGTATAAGGTTGATAATTGATTCTATTCTTTTACCAATGACTCTAAGAGCACTTTTCTCATTTTTGTTTACACGCTACTCTTAAGTTAATCTCATGCTAATTCTAGGGGTGTCTTCAGACATTGAAACTGTATATATATATATATATATATATATATATATATATATATATATATATATATATATATATATTAGGTATAGTAACCAGTTCATTGTCTAACGATGGAAAAACACTGAATTCTACAGAGTGAATGTTACTTTTTAGCATAAGATTACATTGGAAATTTCACATCAGATTTAGGCTGGAAATTATATTTTAAAGGCGGCACATTTATCTTGTTCCTACTATGAGTCTTTTGAACTTTCACTTAACTTGAATGAATATATATATATATATATATATATATATATATATATATATATATATATATATAGGCGTACGCAGAGATACACACATTCATATTTATATACATATCAATATATTGTTTAAAATTTGCTATATTTATGATATAAGAGTTCACTATTGAAGGTAGAACTTTTACAGATATAGAAAGTGTGGATATGGGAATCTACACTGTATGGTGATTGTCAGTTTCATCCCTCCTCTTGAGGCAGGAAATTGTTAGTCACTATGCAGTGATGATCCTGATGACATCTCCCCCCTCTCTCTCTATATATATATATAAGGAATAGCAATGACAAAATGTAAAAGGAAATCGTGTGACTCGGTTCATCTTTTAGGAATTAATTGGACTAAAACGGATGTTTACGTTTTGATGAAATTACACATGCGCATAAAGTAAAGGAGACGTTGACATTTTAAACATTTGAATTAAATTCTTTTTGTCATTAATTTTCATAATATTGCTTAATATAGATATCATTTTCTCCCATATATATATATATATATATATATATATATATATATGTAAAAAATGAATATGAAAAATTGAAAAAGTTTTCGTGACGCGTTTCATCCGTGAGGACTTCATCGGACTGGGTTTATTTACATTGTTGTGACTACACATGCGCAGAAACGAGGGACGTAGACAGTTTCAAAACTATTTCCAATTTGTCATCTTTTTTCTTTCAAAACTGTTCTTGATATATAAACATTTATATATAGTTATCCCATCTATATATATAGTTATCCCCTATATATATATATATATATATATATATATATATATATATATATATATATATATATAGTTATCCCATCAAGCACACACGTATACACACACACACACACACATATATATATATATATATACATATATCTCTATATATATATACGCACATATATATATATACACATATATATATACATACACGCACGCACACACACACACACACATATATATATTTATATATGTGGGTATAATGAGGTAAAAGATATTTATTTTGCATAACAAATATTTACATTGCAATCAATACATTAAAACATCAAAACTCACATTATCAGGTTTATTTATCCAAGAATATATATATATATATATATATATATATATATATATATATATATATATATATATGGAAATATTGCTCAATAGTTAAACAGAAAATAAATATATGCAAAAAGAAAGAAACATTGAAACATTCAAATAAACAGCATAATTTGTCACTTTTTGTTACTTCTTCCTTCATCACAATTCGCAAACCGTTTTTAAACTTACTTTAAATCCAGCTGTTATGTAATCGAAAATAAAATATTTCTGGTAAGATTACGACTTATATCTTTTATTTTTGAGCATTTGTCTTACCGTCATAAGGCCTTAATGTTTAAGCTACGAAAGCTCGACCACCAATCGTCATTCAAATTAACCGAGCAGCTAGATTATTTTCTATACCGATCCCTGTACCCCACATCCGGAAGTTGTGATAGAAAGAAAGATGAGATAAAGTAATGGATAAAGTAATAAAAAAAATATAAATGTTGCATTGGAAACAGATTCAGACGTAACAGTTTTAAATATGAAAGTATTGATAACCTCATTTATAGAAAAACGATGAAAATATCCTAAAATATTCAATATAAGATGATAATTCTACTCGTAAGAATAGCCGTTACCATACAGTAAACTTTGGGCATTCATTGGTCAAACACTTAGTTTTAAAGTCTGCTGAAAGTTACAAGATATTTTTCTTTAAAAAAAAAAAGTTTTTTTCGGGAAAATAACACTCTGATGTCTATTAACTCGATCCTTCTAGTAATAATGGGAGTTTCCTTTTTAAACTTTTGTTTAAGGCAGTGTGGAAAGTCTACATTTTTATTTTATTATCATTTTCCCTTCTAGTTACATATGCTACCCATTCTAATTTATGATTAAAAAAAACAAAAACGATGTTACATTGTAAAGAAGATACCCCACCAAAAAAATTAAAAAATAAAAAAAAATACGGAAAAAACAAAACAGATTATGAAATATAAATTAAATAAAAAAAAGCAAAAAAAAAAAAACAAAAACAAAAGCAAAAAAAAAAAACATGCAATACGAATTCTATTTTTTCTGCAATTTAAATCCAGATATCCTTGCGCATACGGGTCTTTTTACAGACTTGAATAAAAAACGATCTCCACCAAAGGCAATATAAAATTGAACCAGCCGCACCACTCAAATCAAAGCGCCTGCAAAAGGAACTATTTTTTTTCTCCATTTTCTGTTTTTGATCGAAGAATCTTTTTAATTAATCCTCTAACCTGCTGTTTAGAATTTCAGTTGTAACCAACATGGAAAGAAATAAGAGGAAGGATTAAAAAAAAAATGTGTTGATCAATAACGGAATAAATAAAACTAAACGAGAATTCTAAACGGTTTTAAATAAAATCGTGCCTTTTAAAATATTTTAACCAACCAAGTTTGATTCATTCATGTTTTTATACTGAGAAAAATACATATAGGACAATATGTTGGTATCATTCATTACATATGATTTATCTTTTTGGTTGATATCAATTCAAATATCCAAGCACAATTGAAAGTCTGTCCACATTTATCTACGAGGAATAATAACAAGGCCCTCGTTGAACTTCTCACTGTGAAAGTTATTAACTTACAATACGCACGCGGATATATTTTTTGGTAATTTTAAGATCACAGCCGCAAGGAAATCAATCTCAAGTCGTTCATTGTCCTGTATAATGTATAGAAAAATGCATCAGCACGCTCGAAGGCGTAGGCAAACAATTGATGGATGGAGAAACGACCGGCGGGAAATTACTCATTTTTATAACATAAAGTGTGCCTTAATGACATTGCGGGTGGTAAAACCTGTTTTCTAAGACACAGGCCCTTTTTTTTTAATTGTTTTTCATTTTTATTTTTATAAATAAAAAAAAAAAATAAACATAGTGGAAATTCGCTCCATTCTAAAAGAAAAGGGTAAAAAAAAAAAAAAAAAAATTGGTCTGGCCTGTTATTGCTTGGACTTTTGATGCTTGGGTTAACATAGCGGTTCTTGGTTCAATCACAAAGTAAAATTTTTTATTTTTTTTGTAAATATTTTGACCAAAACTCACAAGGCAAAATTTTTGCGCGCTTGTGAAAAAAAAAAAATGATAATAATAATCCACTGTAATTGACAGTATCCGTTTGTCGGACTGAAGCATGTAGTAATTTTTTTTAAATCTTTTTTTGAATTTATCGCATTGTAGACAAAAAAAAAATAATACATTTTACAAAATGGCGCACTTGTCTGAAATTGTTTCAATTTTTTATACTCGGAATAATAATAAAAAAAGAACAATGTAAAAAAAAAAAAAGTCGAGTTGATTAACAATTTAAGTTTTATTAATTTTATTGAACATTTTAAATTCTTTTTTTTTTTAATATAAAGTTCCGGTTATTGCATATGCGCGTGTCACATGTCGATCCTCCCTGAAATACTATTTAATTCTTATATATTGATATTATATATATATATATATATATATATATATATATATATATATATATATATATATATATATATATATATATATATATATATATATATATATATATATATATATATATATATATATATATATATATATATATATATATATATATATATATATATATATATATATATATATATATATATATATATATATATATATATATATATATATATATATATATATATATATATATAATATATATATATAGTAATATATATATAAATATATATTTATATTTAAGTAAATGCTCTGTTTATAATAAACAGCATTAACAGCATTTACATGGTTGAATTTAAGTAAATTTGATTTACTTAAATATTTTATCTATAAAAAAATAACGTATAAACAATAAACATATTAAAAATAATTGTCGGACTTAGTCCATTT